CAGCAGCAGCAGCAGCAGCAGGAAAAGCAGCAGCAGATGTAGAGACTGATGCAGCAGGAAACGAAAGCACAGAGACATCTGTCTGCAGCAACAGCAACAACAGCAGCAGCAACAGCAGCAGCAGCAGGAGCAGCAGCACAACGGCTAGCAGCAGCAGCAGCAGCGTATCACCCATGAATAGAAAGGTATATAAACACTTTATACATGAAAGTTTATGTGGTTTAGAGGGTGGTGAGGGAATAAAAGAGATAAATTATTATATATCTGCATGCAAAAAACATATATTAGGGTTTTTGTCTGTTGGTGCTGCTGTCTGCGGCCATCGAGGTGTCGTGCATGGAGGGTTCACAGCAGCAGCAGCAGATGATTGTTTCGGGTGTATAGGCAGCTATCACTACATAAAAGCAGCAACAAAAAATATACAAATTAAATATATTAGACCTTTTGCTGCAGACACACAGATACTCATTGACGTCTCTCTTCTTTCTCTTTCTCCTGCTGCATGCACCCTAGCAGGCACCATGCTAGCGCCAGCCCCACCCCACATGCGTAAGCTATTTCCCCCCCAAAGACAAAGACAAAGACAGCAGCNATGCTAGCGCCAGCCCCACCCCACATGCGTAAGCTATTTCCCCCCCAAAGACAAAGACAAAGACAGCAGCTGCAGCAGCACCAGCAGCAGCAGCAGCAGCAGCAGCAGCAGCAGCTGCTGCAGCAGCAGCAGCTGCTGCAGCAGCAGCAGCATGATGATGATATTTGGGTTATTGCTGCTATTTCGGGGGAAATGGTTGAAGTCAAAGAACTATGGAAAAATATATAAACTCCTGCTGCTGCTGCTGCTGCTGCTGCTGCTGCTGCTGCTGCTGCTGTTGCTGTTGCTGTTGCTGCAGGAGCAGCAGCAGCAGCAGCAGCAGCTGAAGCAGAAACAGCAGTAAAAGCAGCAGCAGCTGTTCGTTGCTTCTTTTCTTTTTTAATTGTTTTGGTTTGGTTGTACAGATACACAGACCAGCAGCAGCAGCAGCAGCAGCAGCAGCAGCAACAGCAGCAGCAGCAGCAGCAGCAGCAGCAACAGCAGTTTATATCTCAGTATTAATATTTTTTATTTTGGTGTTGTCTTTTTTTCTTCTTTTATGAGGACAACATCATCGGCTCGAATCTCACCCTATTGCAGTGTATCCATGCATGCATGCATGCATGCATGCATGCATGTGTCTCCGCATGCATGCATGCATGTGTGTTTGCATGCATGCATGCATGCATGTTTCTCTGCATGCATGCATGCATGCATGCATGCATGCGTGTGTCGCTGCATGCATGCATGCATGTGTGTCTGCATGCATGCATGCATGCATGCGTGCATGCGTGTTGTGTGTATTGAAGTTGCTGTGGTGTATATATACATTCCCAGTTTCATGTTTATGATGGTTTGGGGCTTTCTCTGCATGCAGCAGGTGCAGCAGAGGCTCCTGCTGCTGCTGCTGCAGCTGCAG